CGCCTCGGCGACCTCTCCAAGGAGGCGAACAAGTGGCGTGTAGCGGTGCAGCTTGGCAACACATCTTGTCACCACGGTCAGATCGTATGTGCAGCTTTCGCGCAGGTTGGCTGGAAGCACGGCGCATTGATTGAACGCCTCGAGTCCCAACGCAAGGCACGCAGGGAAGCATCTCAATGATTGGCAAAGATCAGCATGCAAGTGCAGGTGAAGAGCGAAGCCTTCCACAAGAAGAAGACGGCGACCCTGAGGGCCAAGAACGAGGACCGATGCCTTCGAATCTGACAAGTGCCAGTACTCATTGCAAACAGGAGCTTGCTTCACTTTGCTTCATCGCTGCCGTGTGTGCATATCTCGCAGGCCAAGAAGGCTGTGAAGCTCTCTGCGGACGACATGAAGGCCTTGACTTGCCGAAGACGAGGAGAAACCCAACCTGGCACAGTCAAACGCTTCTTGGAGGCGCTTGAGGATGCAGGCTACGCATGAGATCAAGGTGTAGTGGCGTAGTGTTCGAGCCTGGCATGACTGGTCCAATGGTGCGGGTGAGCAGAAATAGGTGTGGCGCCGCAGTGTTTGTCTGCCTGACATGTTCTGTCTAGTTTTCCTTCTCGCTCTCTCCCGCTATGCAGCAGTCCTGCAAGCTTACACAAGCACTGTTGTACACAGCCTTCAACTTTTAGCAACTGACTATACTATACCTTAATGCTGTTTTGGCTCCAGGAGATAGTTTGGGCCATGACACACCCGGGACATGTCATTTCCGAGAATGGGATTGCAGCAGCAAAACTCAATCCACTGTGCCCGCTGTCGTACTGTACCTAGCGATCATGAACTTCCTCACGATGTTGGTTCGAGTATCTACGCAGTGCAATTGCAGTGACTTACTCCTTGAGCCAAGTTCCGAATGCCTGACCAGTGGAAGGCTGTTTTCCAGCTTTGCTGTCTTGCGCTGGCTGAGGCTGGTCGATTGTTCTCATTCTCGCGGTCCTCAATGCATGTCATGCTGTGTGCTGTGTCGGGGCGCCAGGCTGCACCCGCGCGAATCGCCATTTATGGTTCGTGTGCGGCACGTGCAGACGTTGATGCAGAAGCTTGGCTCAGTTGTCGGCCGTCTCGGAGACGATTGGCACAGAGCCTATCCATTGCTGTGCCAGAAGTCGCGGTCCCCAATTGCTAAGGAGTACAATCTGCAGGGAGAGACTGCGAGCGGCGCCCCCCTGTACAAAGCGGTCGCAAGCGATCTCCACATCTACTTTGACCCCAGCTGTGATGGCACCACCACAGACTCGAGGCTTACCTTCGAGGCAACATAGGATGCTGCAATGACTGTTTCTGTCGTGTCAAAAGGTGGATCATCAGCCACCTCTCTGGCACTCCGGACCGAAGTCTGGCCCATGACCTGGACGGGGATGCGGCGTGCAACTCCGTAGCATACATCTCGTCCACCTCGACAGTCGCACCTCCACAAGGTTCCTGGGCTTTGACTCCAGGCCCGTCTAAGGGTCTAAGGGCATGTTGGCTCTTCACAGGTTCTACCTGGACCATGGACTGTGGAGGCTCCACGCAAAGCGTGGAGTTGACCATTGAGGAGGCAGGCAATGGCCTTGCGCGGCAGTTGATCCCCCTCCCCGGTAGCGAAGTTAGCGAAGCCTTGTGTCCAGGTGGAAAGAAGTGGGCAGCAGAGCCTCGTCAGACTACGAAAGACGAAGAAAGACGACTCCTGCAGCCGACAGCCGGTCACGGACTTCTCAGACTTTTGCTCTCGCGCTGCAGTTTCCTTGTGATCGGTGAGACAAGGATCGCTCCAGCATTTTTCTGCGCTTACAGCTGCGAAAACAGAGGAAAGGTGCCGGTGTGTCTGAAGTCGAGGTGCCAGCATGTTCTGTGCTGTGCGTCAACAAAGATGCAGGTGACACGCCCCGGTAGATGCTTCGAGAAGACGGAGGTCTTCTCGAACCTGTCTCAGCAACTTCTGACAGATCCATGCATTACATCTGCTGTTGCAGCGATAAGGACTCGTGGCGTCAGCTGGATGCGACTTGCAACCCGCATGTCCGAAAGCCGGGCGGGCAACACACATGATCTTTAGTGCCGTCTTAGTTGTTGAGCTGGCATGCACACGTGCGTCAGTACATTTAGTTGCAAGCTGATTTTACGCCGGGCGGCACAGAGCTTTCATTCAAGAGAGTATTTAACAATCAGTCAAAGCCTTGGTAAGCAGCTGGTTAGCTCGGAAAAAGTAAGACTCACACTACCGTTGGTGGCTCCTAAGATCCTTAGCCTCCCAAAGCCTGAGCGACGTCTTCGAAGGTTTTCGCAGTGAGGCTTGTTCAGACTTTAGAGGGCAGAGTGTTTTGCAGACATCAAGCGTAATGTGAGTCTCGGCCTGCGATTTTCAATGTCTCATGCCTTACAATCGTGTTACTAGTGTCAGCAGGGTTTGTATGTGGTTTGCGCGTAAAGACTTCGTAGAGGCCTCCAAAGTTCTGCATAATCCAGCAAACCGTCAAGGTTACATGTTGATGTGGTTTTGCAGCAACGTAGGGTGTTCTCCAGCATATGCATCCGGTGACCGGCCGAAACCGCAACAAAGTCGGTGGAAGCAGAGGACGAACAATGCTTCAGTACCGTTATTGTCTTCAGCATTCTTGTTCCTTTGCTCATGCAGGCCGAAAACATGCTAAATGGATGGTAAACGAGGTTAGGGAAGGAGGAACGTGGGTCGCACGCCTCCTCACGGTTGCTTTGGTTGCGCTTCTCTGAGTTTAACTTTTTGTAAGTCTACGCCATTGCAGTTGCTGCCATGTCTAGGGTTGTCATTTTTGATGTCGTCCCTGGCCTGCAGTTCCAGAGGGCGCGGGTGTCAACATTGTCCCACTGACGGAGGACAGAAGGCGTTCTAGTTGCAGAAGGTTTCTGCTTGTGTGGCAAGACCTTCCCAGGAGTGGGCGACATACAGTGCAGGTGACATGACGTGGGAAGGCTGAGAAAGTGTCCTTTTTGTCACCCTTGTCTTGTGATCCGGGGCTCGTGGCTCCAGGCTGGTTCCACGTGAAAGCAGCGCCTGCAGCTGGACGGTCCATGCTTATTGGCACTTTTGGGACGAACGATGCCGACAGTACGTTCAGCAACCAGAATCGGCGGCTCGACGGCCAGCTGATGTGCCATCCCCAGACCCACGAACATGCCGAGACTTAGGCGACGACACGGCGCCATTTGGTTGGAGACAGACGGCACGCTCGGACTGAGCAGCAACACTGGCGAGTCGCTCGAATCGTTGGAGAGTCCTGGCATTTCTGTTGCCTGCTATCCTTTGCAGACAGAGCAGTTGAGGTCAAGTGGCTACATTCAGGGTCCCAACGTGATCGATGGGAAGCCTCATGCCTCCAAGAGGATGCTGGAAGCCTTGAAGAAATCTGCAATTCCTTCACTTCGGGATTTCCGCAACGAGCGAACGGAAATGATGAAATTGCTAGCTGCTAGTTAGTGTGCCTCCTGCACTGGAAACTTGTCCAAGCTGAAGGTGGCATCACGTCGCTGCGATCTGGAACCAGACAGCTGGCGGAAGTGCCCAACTTTACAAGAGTCACTCGCTTTGCAAATCCAGCACTCCATTCCGATGTACGGAAGCCTCGGCCCTTCCAAGCTTCGCAATGTGCTGAAGCATGTATTTTGCCACCGGGCCAGCATGCAAGGTTTCAAATTCTTGCATGTGCGCTATTTGGTCATCGCTGGTGACTTGGGCTTTTGCTGAGTAGCATGTGCTTCGTGTTGTTTTAAACTTGTGGTTCGACCTCCCGATTAGAGGGTGGTCCTACCACGGCCAGATCGTCGCGTGACATCGGATCAGACATGGCAGGCAGAGCTGCGATTCTCGAAGACTTTCTCGTCAATCTGAAGGCCGCCATGGCTCTGGAGTCGAACACGAGCTCTGATGATGTCTGGGTGTATCTCAGCGTCGCTCGACAGGAAGGAGACTGTGAAAGCCAAAAGGGAGTGGTACAGGAACTGTCTGATTAGGCTTTGATCCCTGTCACTTTGATCTTCGCTGGAGTGGCACAGCTGAGGATGAGCAAGTCATCGGGAATGAAGGGCGCACCGCTGTGTCCATGGTTGTCCCTCGGATCTGAACGCATCAAGCATGAGTATCTTCGGCTCGGCACCAGCACTGCACCTGATCGCCTCCCAGGTCAACGTGGAGAGGAAATCAGCTGACATTGCCTTGGCCCGTCTTGTCCGAAGCGACACGTTCGAGGCACGCAGCTCGACGGAAACTCAGGAAGTGGGTTGTCGTGCTCCTTCGGGGACAGAGATCGGAGCTCTCTTCCAGAATGCACTCTGAAAGGGAAGGTCTGGTATGTCCGTGAGGACTCAGGTCAGCCTTGTTTTGCGATGATGGAATCATGTACAAGCTGTCCACTATTGTGGGCAGCTGCCAGCTGAGGTATGATGAATGCCCTGAGGATAACGACGGACATCGCCAACTCCTACACAGGCTTGCTACCTGTGGAGAATAATCAGCTCATCTACGATAGCATGTTCCCGACGATGGCCTACGTTGGAAACGGGCGGTTGTTGGTAGATAGCATCGATTACGCTGGGCGTCTCACCTACTCGCCCCTGGCAGATGCCTGGCTTTTCTGTTTCATTTCCCTATGTGCTGATGACATATTAAATATGGTGACTCAGATCCTCTGCCTTTCAAAGGAGAAAGCTCTGAATGGACTGGGGTTCCTAAGGAGAACATCGCTGACAACGGTCAGTTCCTTGTGGGTGGCGGCCACCAGGGCCGAGCCGTGGAGTGCGAGCTGGCAAACGTGCGCTTGTGGACGCGGTGGCGGCAGATTTTTCTCCGAGCTGCGCAGAGCAGAGCTTTCTTCTTGGTTTTAAAAGCCGCTGCGGCTTCTTGTTCTGTCCGGAGCCCAGGAGCGTGGCGCTGACAGAGGCCATCGGAGAGCTGTCCATCGTGATTTGAATGTACGGTGCGGATGCGAGTTAGAGACCTGCGCAGCGCGCTGGCTGTCGTAAGATGCACCAACATGTCACTGCAATGACAAGGGGATGGGTTGTGGAAGATGCGGAGAGACGGAGGGAAGATGTGAGCACTGTTAGCTGTCTCCTTGAAGTCGTGCCAGGCATGCTGCAGATTGAAAGAAGATGCCCAACAAATTACTCCTGTCCTCGGCAACGAAGGGCACCCGGGCACCCCTGCAGGATCAGCTCCGCGCTGTGCAGGCGTGCTCATTGCCAGAGCCAGCGAGTTTCATCGGCGGGTCCTGGCCGCACAGCCGCTGGTCGACAACAGTCGAGGCCCAAAAGGGTCGTTCTTGGAAAGTGAGAGAGCGCCGGAGGCCTTCATGCAGCCTGGTCCCTCAACGGCCACTTCATCAACAGCTTCGGGCCGTTGGACAACCTGACGGAAGAGAGCGCCTGGGAGGAGCAGCTTGGAACAGGCACCGCTACCTTCCAGCTCAGCAGCTCTCCGG